TCCCCCCACGCTCTTCGTGATTTGATGGTTTGTGCCGAGAAGTCTGCTGTAATTCTGATGGGTGTTCCCTTGTAAGTGATCTGTTTCTTTTCTCTAATGGCTTTTAATATTTTGTATGTTGGATTTCTGGAATTTTGATTATTATGTGCCTGGGTGTGGCTCTGTTTGGGTTGTAGGTGGCTGGGGTCCTGTATGCTTCATACATCTGAGTATCTTTACCTTTTGCTAAATTTGGAAAATTCTCCTGGATTATTTCTGTGAGTAGCTTTTGTAGTTCATTTGTTTGTGTCCCTACCTCTTCTTTTATGTTCTTAATTCTTAAGTTATAGATCCTCTTATCATCTTCTGTCTTTGTATTATTGCTGTTTGTTTCTTTGTTATTTTTAAGAAGTTTTTCATTTCATGCCCCCATATTACAAATCTGTCCTCTAGTTCAGATAATCGGTCCTTAGTTTCTTTCAAGCTGTTATGCCAGTTTTCGGTAGAGTTTCTAGTTTCCTGCTTTGAACCTGCTTCACATATTCTATGTTTTCTCTATTTTTTCCATCAAACAATTCTCCCCTTTTTTTCTGTTCTTCCATTCCACCATCTGTTTTTTCTTGGGTGGTGCTTAGCATTTCTCTAACTATTCTGCTTATGTGTTGCTTCAGGTCATTAATAACTTCATTCCTGAACTCGTCTATGAGGCTCTGAAGATAGCACTTTATGTCTATTGGTGCCGTGTCTGCTATTGCCTGTTTCTCAGGATTGGGGGCTGAGGAGCCTTTCTTGTTGCTCCCACTTCCCATATTCTTTGTTCCTTATATATGCAAGTGTATATAGGAGGCCCAGCTTCCTTCTCTGTCAGCCACAGTCTGATTGAATTGCGCCAGATAGGTGTTCCCGCCCATTGCAGTGCACCAGGGAGTTACGGACCGAGCAGCCAATGCGGGGCCACCCCTCCAGGTCAGCCTACCAAGGCTTCACTGCTAGGGTGCACCTCCAGGGCCTGGGACCTGGGTTGTTCTAGCCTACTGGATCTCAGCCAGCAGCATCACGTAGGCTAGGCACTGCTCACCAATCCTGTTTGAGAGGGGTATATGTGACTGAAGTCACTAAGCACTCTGTTCCAGCAAGTCTGCCTGGTCCCAGAGTGTCTTGTGATGGAGCCTCCTAGACCATGGAAGAGTCCCAGTTTCCCTCACTCACCGCAGGTTGATGCACGGCTCCCCGCCTGTCCAGCTCTCAACTCCGTTCACCGATTCCCGTTCTCAGAGCTTTCACGCGTCTCTCTCCCTGCCAAGCCAATTCAGACGCATCAGGGGTGGCAGGAAAACCAAATCGTGGCTTCCAATGGCGGGGGCTCCAGCTTCCACGCTGAGGCTTTATCTGTTCCTGTTATACCACCAGGATTGCATTCCCAGTTGGTTTCTCTCAGCCCAGTTCATTCTTAGGTCAGCAGGGTACATCTCCTCTTGCTTATGATTCCTCACTCCGCACCATTCCTGGATTCTAAACTGGGTCTTGCAGAGAGCTTGTGTAGCTGCTGCTATCTGTCCACCATGTTCTTCCTATCTCCGAGTGTAGAGGTTTTCAAAATAGGTATTGATGATCTTTTGTATTTTCGCAGGATCTGTAGTGATTTTACCCTTTTCATCCTTATTGCATGAATTTGAGTTTTTTCTTTTCTTTTTATATAAGGTTGTCTAGGGACTTGTCTATTTTATTTATTCTGTCAAAGAACCAACTCTTTGATCTTTGATTCTTTATTGTATTGTTTTCTTTGTCTCTATTGCATTGATTTCTGCTTTGACCTTTATAATTTTCTCCTTTCTTTTGGCTTTTGGCTCGACTTGCTCTTCTTTTTCTAGATGTTTGAGGTATAGCATCAGATTATTTAACTGTGTTTATTTTGTTTTCTGGATATGGGAATTCACCATAATAAATTTTCTTCTGAGTACTGCTTTCATTGCATTGCACAGGTTTTGGTAAGTTGTATTTGTATTTTTGTTTGCTTGTAGATATTATTTAATTTGTTCTTTAATTTCCTCTGTGACCCCCTGATTGCTCAGTAGTATATTATTCAATTTCCATGTGTTTGTGGTGTTTTATCAGTTTCTTTTGTCATTGATTTCTAGATTCATGGTGCTATGATCTGATAATTTATATGGAATAATTTTATTTTTTGCATTTACTTAAGCATGTTCTGTGGGCTAGTATATGGTCCATTTGAGAGAATCCCCTGGGTGCTATATTCATTCTCAGATTTTTAGGGTGGAACACTCTGTACACATCCACTAAGTCCATATGTTCACAGGTGTGATTCAGTTCTGTTATTTCTTTGCTGATTTCCTGTCTAGTTGATCGATCTCTGTGTGGCAGTTTGGTGTTAATGTCTACCATTATAATCATGTTATTGCTTATTTGATTTGTCATTTTTGTTAATATTTATTTTGTATAGCTGTGTGCTCCCGAATTTGATGCATATGCATTTTAGATTGTTATCTTTCTCTTGAAAATTTCTCTTAACAAATATGTAGGGACCTTGTTTATCTCTTTTGATCATTCTTGATTTGAAATTTACACTGTCTGAAAACAGAATAGCTACACCTGTGTTTCATTTATTTCCTGTTGCATAAAGCATTGTTTTCCGTCCTTTGACTTTCAGTGTATGAATTTCCTTTTGGGTTAGATGGGTTTCTTGTATACAGCATATGGGTTGGATGCTGTTTTTTAATCTGTCCTGCCAGTCTTTTTCTTTTAATTGGTGAATAGAGGCTATTTACATTAGTGGTTATAACTGATATATATTGGTTTACTTTTGACATGTAATCTTTCTGCTGTTGATTCTTTACTTTTCTCCTCTGTTTAACTGTTTGCTTTGCTTAGTGGTTTTTTTCCTATGTCTATTTAGAATGTCTTTCAGTATTCATTTCAGGGTTGGTTTGGTGGTCATATTCTTCAGCTGTTCTTTGTCATGGAAGTATCATGTTTCTCCATCCATTTTGAAGGACAGTTTTTCAGATTACAATAATCTGGGTTGGCAGTCATTTTCCTTTAGAATCTGAAATACTTCACTGCATACTCTTTTTGACTTCATTGTTTGTGTTGAGAAGTCTGTTGTGATTGTGATAGACTTTCCTTTATAGGTGATCTGTCTCTTCTCTCTAACAGCTTTTAATATTCTGTTCTTATGTTGGATTTCTGGGATGTTGATTATTATGTTTCTGGGTGTAGTTTTATTTTAGTTATGGATATTTGCAATTCTATATGCTTTACTGATCTGTATGTCTATTTCCATTCTCACATTTGGGAAATTTTCAGCTATTTACTACTGTAAATAGCTTCTTGATATCATTTATGTTGTCAGCTTCTTTTTCATTTATCCCTATCCATCTTATGTTGTTTTTCTTTGCATCATTTTGCAGCTGTTGAATTGTTATTTCCAGATTCCTTGTAATATTTAAAAGAGCTTTCTTTCCTGTCCACTAGCTGCAACCTTGTCTTTGAGGTCTGAAAGCCTATCTTCACTTTCACTGAGTCAGTTTTGCCAACTTTTGATGGAATTTTTGATTTCCTGTGTATCTCTTTAAATATTTAATGCATTCTGTTAATTTCTTGTACTGTTAATTCAAGGTGTTCATCTTTTTTAATTGCTCCTCTAACTTTTAAATTATGGCTTCTTTAGATGTGTTCAGGATTTCTTTCATTACACGTATCATCTCTTCTTTTACTTGGGTGATTATTTGTGATCCAAATTCTTTTATAACTTCCCAAAATTGTTTCTTTACTTAAGTTGCTATCGTTTCAGGTGTATGGCTTACATTTTCTTCTGTGTGCTTTGTCTCCTATGCTTGTTTGGGATAGGATGGAGATTTGAGATTGCATTTTGCTCTTTCATTTTTGTCATTTTCCTATATTCCCTTTGGAAAGTCAAAGGCAAAGTCTCAGTTTTTTCTTGGGTTGAGAATATCTATCCTTATTGGACAGAGTTTTCCCAGTTGAGTGGAGGTCCTTAGACAGACCTTACCAGATGGCTACCAGACATTTGGGTTCACTTGGCGGGACCTTACCATTTCAGAGGAAGTCACTTAAGTTTCCCTATGAGCTGGAAATCACTGCATGTGGTTTTGGCTCATGAGGAGGAACACAGGCAGCTGTGGCCCACTTGGGGGTCACTGGGTGGGGTCCAGATAGGCTCAGAGTGTCTTCTGGTGATGTGGGAAACTGGGGAGGGCCTTGTCAGTCTTGGATCAACAAAGTGCCAAAGCTTCCTGGTGGGCTGAAAACCACCGTGCATACTTTCAGCTTGTGAGGCAGAATGCAGGCAGCTTCAGTCCCCTCTGGGATTGCTCTGCAGGGTCCAGATAGTCCTGGAGGGACATTTAGATGCATTCTCCAGTGATGTGGGAGGTTGGGAAGGGCCTCAAGAGATAGACTCTTGCAAAGAATATCTATGTTTGCTTGTCAGGTGCCTGGGAACACTGAGAGCCTATGATCATTTGAAACAAATTTCTTAACTTGAGGTCTTTTGGATCCCTGAGACAGTGTTGATTTGGGCAGCAAACTCTTGTGAAGGATAGTTTGTGATTGAGGTCTTGCTGGGGTGATTCTTCATTTTCCCTATCCTAAAGCTTAAATCAGAGAAATTTACCTTCTAAGGGCTTGCTGCTCACCCTTAAACTGATACCATGTCCATTTAATGAAGAAAGTGTCCTTGATTTGATTCTGTAGTATATGTGAAGTTCAAGATCATAGTGATTTGTAAATTCACTCAAATCAAGTCAAGAATCAGTGCTCTATTTACTCTCTGGATTTTTGCCTACCTTAGTTTTTCCCCCCTAAGATTAAAGTATGTATCTACTTATTTTACTCTGTTCTTAACTAATAGACACATTTAAAAACATTAAAAAGATATTTTGTCTGTCAGTTTTAGTTGTTCTTACTAGAAAAATTGGTCAAGGTGTCAGTCATCATTTTGATCTGAGACTCAATTCCTGACTTGACTTTTATTGTTTTAGGACTCTGGGGCCTGGTCAACAATGCAGGCATTTTCTCCCGATTTACATTAATTGAGTGGCAGAAGACTGAAGACTTGATGAAAGTACTCAAAGTGAACCTCATTGGTTTGATGGAGGTGACCCTGAGCATGCTTCCCTTGGTGAGGAAAGCACGGGGGAGGATTGTCAATGTCTCCAGCTCTCTGGGAAGAGTTGCTTTCATTGCTGGAATCTACAGTTGCTCCAAGTATGGAGTTGAAGCATTTTCAGACATACTGAGGTAAGTAATGGTTAGGGATGGTGCTATGTACTTTCTCCTACCTTATTTTATCATTCCCCAAATCTTAGCTTGTAGATATGATTACTAGCCCATTTTATATAGGAATTTGTGATTCAGTTTTAGGTATCTTTCCTGAAGGGCACCTGCCACAGCCAAGACTTGACAGAACTGTGTTCTCACCCAAGATCTTTGTAGTGCCCCCACATAACATTGATATTCTCTGGATTTTTCTTTGATAAAATATCACTGCTAATGAAAGGGTAATTCTCTTTTTTACCAAGTAAAAGTTTATCCTTGTCTCTTCCTAGTGGTTCTCTTTTTCACTGGTTCCTCATCTGCTTCCAAGTTTTCCTTCTCTTTTTGAGTGTTTTAGTTTGAATTTGATGCATCCTTTCATAGCTCTGCTGCTACCTCCTGGGTTTTCTTTATGCACTGTTTTAGCTTCACATTACTCTCAGCTGCTTGTTTCTTTTTATAATTCTCTGATGTTTTGATTTCTAAGAAAAAATTCTATTGGCAGAGTTATTTCTGTGTGTGTGCCAGCTAGTAATACATTATATGCCTTTTGCATATACTTATATATCTGGCACTGTTGTGTATTCTATGTGTCATTTAATTTTCTTTTTGAAGATTTTTTATTTTATTAGCACATTTTTGTAGTAATGATTACATTCATTGTGAGGAGTTAGTATGTGTACATAAGACATTTTAATTCTTTTCACATCTCTACCTTTTCTCTCCTTCCCACCTCCCTCCATCTCTTGATCCTATTCCTATTTGTGAAAGATCAGTTTCCCTGTTTACTATTGTCTATCTTTTGCTTTTCTCTTTTTTCCTTTGGATTTCTCCTATAAGAGAAGCCATGTGATATTTAGATTGTGTATCTGATTTATTTTGCTTATTATCATGGCCATAATATGCAATAATTTACCTTCAAATGACTTAAATTTATCTTTATTATATCAGGGAATTACTCTGTTGTTTTTAATTCCACATTTCTTTATTCACTCATCTGTTGATGGATATATATATAAATATAGACTTCTTACAAGATTCAGCTGTTACGTTTTGTGCTGCTACAAACATAGGTATGCTAGTATCACTTCGATATGATGTTTTCAACTCTTTGAGGAAGATATCTAGAAAGATAGAGCTTTTAGTTTATTTGTGGAAACTCCACACTGATTTGCATAGTGATTGTAGTAACTTAGATGTCTTCCAACAAGATAGAAGCGCTCTTCTCACCTACCACTCCCAGTTTCACTAGTATTTGTTATTTTCTAATTTTTACTTTTATTAGTACATGTGTGCAGTACATAGTGATTACATGCATTGTGGGGAGTTAGTACATTTATGTAATACATCTTCATTAATTTTTCATCTCTTTTCCCCTCTCCCTTCATTTTGTTATTGTTTGATTTCTTCATGACAGTCACTCTCTCTGGAGTAAGACAGAATAGAATCTTAGTTCTGTTTTCATTTGCATTTCTCTATTGGATAGGGAGATGTTTAACAATTTTTCATGTTTTTATTGATGATTTGTACTTATTCTTCTGAGAAGTATGTATTCTTTTTAGCTGCCAATTTTTGGTTGGGTCTTTTATGTTGGGGGATCTAATTCTGTTTAGTTCTTTACGTATTGTAGATATTAGTCCTTTTCCCAAGCAGTAGATGGCAAGTTTTTTCCCATTCTGTAGGTTGTCCCTTCACTATGTTAGCTGTTTCTTTTTCTGGACAGAAGCTTTTTAATTTGATATAACAGCATGTGTTGATTCTAAATGTTGGTTCTTTTTCATTATTTATTTTTATGAATCATGTATTTATGTACTTGTGCATATTTGTAATACATAATGATTACATGTATCTTGGAGGAGTTGCACAGGTACTTAACACAAATTAATCATTTTTGTGCTTTCCTCTCCTCTCCTTCTGTTTTTTCCAACTCTTGATCCTCTTCTCATTTCAAGAAACTCTATTTTAGTTTTTTCTTTGATCCACTTTCTTAATCATGTTCTCCTTCCTTTTCTCACTTTTTTTATATCTTTGGTGCTGTCCCCCCCCCCACTTTTTTTGGTCTTTCTGAGACAAGATCTTGCTATGAAATTCAGGCTGGCCCTGAGCTAACTTTGTAGCTGGGCTGGACTTGAACTCACAACAATCTGCCAGTGTCAGCTTCCCAAGTGCTGGTATCACAGGTGTGTGCCACCATGCCTCACTGATGCTGTTTCTTGTCTAATTGTGGTTCTTTTCAGAAAGTACATGCCTATGTGAAAGTTTTACCTATTTTATCTTCCAGTGGGTTGCTTATGATTTAACATTTAGATATTTGACATATTTTGATTTTAGTTTAGTATACAGTGAGAGATTTAGTCTATATTCAATTTTCTGCATGTGTGTATCCAGTTTCCCAGCACCATTTGTTAATCAGGTTATCTATCCTGTAGCACAAGGTTTTGGGCCCTTTGTTAAAGTTCAGATGCCTGAATGTGCTGAGGGCTATTTCAGCTGAATGTACCTCGGGTCATGTCTGCTTTTTTTTTTTTTAATGCCAATATCATGCTGCTTTTGTCATTGTGGCTTAAATGTAATTTGAAGTCCAGGATTGTGATTCCCTTGCTTTTCTCTTGTTGTTCAGGTTTGCTTTTGTATGCTGGGTCTCTTCTGGTTCCATATGAAATTTTGGATTGTTTTCTCTATTTCTGTGAAGAATATAGTTGGTATTTTGGTTCAGATTACATTAAATCTATATATCAGTTTGAATAATGTGGCCATTGTGCCAATAGTATTTCTTGTCCAGGAGCATGGAATTTTTTTTCATTTTCAGATGTCTTCTTCAATCTTTTTTTTTTTTCCAAGAATACAGTAGATTTCTTTCAACATATTCTTTGCCACATTAATTCCTAAGTATTAAATTATTCTTGAAGCTATTGTCAATGGCATTGTTTTCTTAATTTCTTTGTCACTGGACTTCTCATTGGTATTCAGGGATCCTATTGATTTTTGTGCGCTGATTTGGTATCCTGATACATTCTTGAATTTGTATATTAGTTATAGAAGTCTAATGGTGGAATATTTTCAGTTTTTTATATAAATGATCCTGTTCTCTGTGATTAAGATCAATTTGACTTCTTTCTTCCTATATATACCCCTTTTATTTCTTTCTCCTACCTGGTTGTATTGGAGAATAGTTTGAGTGCTACAATGAAGAGGAATGGTGATAGTGGAGATCTTTGTAATTTTCCTGATTTTACAGGAAAATATTTCAGTTTTTCTTCCTATTTAATTTGATATTGGGAGCAGGCTTATCATAAATGGCTTTTGTCAGATTGAACTAAGCTGTTTTATTGCCATGTTCTCCATGATCTTTGCTATAAACAGCTGTTGAATTTTGTGAAAATCTTTTTCTGCATCTATTGAGATAATCAGGTGATTTTATTCTTGCTTCTATTTATGTGATGTATTACATTTATTGAGTTGCATATACTGAACCATCCTTGTAGCCCACACATGACACTAATTTTGTCATGATGTATAACCTTTTCACTAATTTGTTGCATATTGTTTTCCAGTGTCTTGTTGAGGATCTTTGTATCTATGTTTATTACAAAGCCTGACCTATAGTTTTCCTTTTTAGTTGAGTCCTTGTCTGATTTTGGAATCAAGTAATGTTAGTTTCCAGGTATGAGTCTGAATATTCTTTCCCTTTCAGTTTCATTAAAGAGTTTGAGGAGTATTGGCAGTGCATCTCCCCTGAAATTCAGATAGAATTCAGTGATGAGCCTATCAGGTCATAGACTTTTTTTAGTTCTTGCCTATTGTTAGATTATTTGTGGTTTTTATATCTTCTTGGTTCAATTTAGGTAATTCATGTATTTTATTTCTTCTGTGTTTTCCAATTTTTGCAGCATAGGTTTTTGAAGTAGTTACTAAGAATATTCTGGATTTGACTGGTGTTGGTTGCCTTTTTCATTTCTAATTGTATTGATATGGGTCTCTTTCTCTTTCTAACTTTTTTTCAGGGTAAGGTTGGCTAAGGATTTATTTCATCTATTCTTTTAAAGAACTAGCTGTTTAATTCATTACTTCATTGTGTTGCTTTTTTAGTCTTACTCTCATTATTTCCTAATCTGATTTTTATAATTTCCATCCTTTATTAGTTTTGGATTTAGATTTTTCTTGTTTTTCTAGGAAGCTGAGGTGCAGCATTTATTTGGATTTCTTATTTTTCAGATGCGAATATTTGCAGATATAAGCTTCCCTCTTAGACTCCTTTGCATTGTTCCCAGAGGATCTGCTGTGCTTTACTGGCATTTTCATTTAAGTCTAGGAACTTTCGAATTTCTTCGGTGATTTAAAAAAATATTTTATTTTAAAGAGAATAAAACAAAACAAAACAGAACAAAGAAAATCAGAAGAAAACAATGCAATCAACACAGAATTTCCAAATAAGATATCAGGAAATCAACAGTGGTTACCATAATGTCTCTTGTTTTGTTCAAAACAGTTGTCCACATTTTCACACATGAATTCAAATGAGACAAAATAGTATAAAACTGTTCAAAACAAAAGAATGAAAGCCTTCAAAACCAGACAAAAGGAAAATCAACAATGGTTACCATCATGTCTCTTCAAAATTGCTGTCCATACTTTCACACATATTGAAATTAAATAATGCAAAACACACCAAAACCAATCAAAACAAAGAATAAAAGCATTACTGGACTTTACAACATGATGATAGGAAATCAGCAATGGCTACCATAATGTCTGCTTTTCTTCAAAGTACCTGTTCATACCATCGCATGTTATAAAATAAATTCTTATAAATTCTTTAGGAGAAGCTTTAGGCATGTATAAACCTATACATGTACATCTGTGCTTTCTGTATTAGAAAAACAAAACAAAACAAGACAAATTATGACAAAAACAAGAAACAAAAGAGAAATAACAATAACAAAGAGCCCATAACAATGACAATGTAGACATTCAAAACAAGGTGG